CCCCCCGGGCAACCGGTGGCGACACACTAGACACTAGCAGTTCCTTTGAGACAAAATAACGAATGGTTTAGTGGGAAGTTTTTATGGAAAGCTGAAACATTTTGAACAGCTTTCAGCATATACGTGAAATGAAACAAGTGAGACTCCCATAACCTTGACACAACAACTACATCCAGTGAAACAAGTGAGATTCCCATAACCTTGACACAACAACTACATCCAGTACGTCTGTGACTGTAGCGCATACTTGGTGAGAAGAACAGATACGAGCTGCCACAGCGAGCACAAGACAATGGGCAGAATTCCAAAAAGCACACACAAGATGAAGAAACCATGTCTCATGGTGATATACTACCTTTCTCTCCTTTGCCAATTGCTCTTCCTTTCATTGGAAACACAAAGAGAACAAATGAGTGGAAGAAACATGAGACGTAGAAGAGAACGAAGAAACATGAGACATAGAAGAGAACGAATGAGTGGAAGAAACATGAGACGTAGAAGAGAACGAAGAAACATGAGACGTAGAAGAGAAGGAAGAAACATGAGATGTAAAAGAGAAGGAAGAAACATGAGACGTAGAAGAGAATGAAGAAACATGAGACGTAAAATGCCTAAACAAAATCAACTCAAATAAAGAAACGTACACCGGACTCTTTCTTGACGTATATAGAAACCACTCTGTACTCCTCTGCCACATACAGACATTTGTAAACCCACAGTGTCAAAAAAAGGATTTCATTATCAAAACTTTTCACTGTAAAAAAATCATTTACATTTACACGAATTTAGTTTCAGAAAATGATCGAGCCAAACAATCCAGATGGTACTTCACATTCATGACAAATTCCTAGTGTACTTCTTTCAAAATGAAACAAAATTTCCGGTAAATATAGGCCCTACTTGTGTCCTCTTTCAGTCCTTTTCATTCCCTCCTTTTTTCTACTTTCCGTATGTCCTTTCATCTCTGTTGACGTTTCAGTCTTTTCGATGTGTACTTCATTTGTCATAATTCCATAATTATCATTTGTCATAATTCTACAATTATCATTTATCATAATTCCATAATTATCATTTGTCATAATTCTACAATTATCATTTATCATAATTCCATAATTATCATTTATCATCATAATTCCATAATTATCATTTATCATAATTCCATAATTATCATTTGTAACAAGTGAGAAAGGTACAAGAACATGTTAATCACGGCAGCAAGTGTGAACAACTGTGACAATTTACCTGGCAACAACTGCGACAATTTACCTGGACAATTTACCTGGCAACATCTGTGACAATTTACCTAGCTTTACCTGGCAACAAGAGTGACAATTTACTGGCAACAAGTGTGACAATTTACCTAGCTTTACCAGGCAACAACTGTGACAATTTACCTGGCAACAAGTGTGACAATTTACCTAGCTTTACCTGGCAACAACTGTGACAATTTACCTAGCTTTACCTGGCAACAACTGTGACAATTTACCTGGCAACAACTGTGACAATTTACCTGGCAACAACTGTGACAATTTACCTGGCAACAACTGTGACAATTTACCTGCAATCATGGGCTTCCTGCTCACGGACACTTTGGCAGACTTGGGTCGTCGCGGCAACTTCTGGGGGAGACCACCGCTGCCCCTCAGTCGCGGGCCTTCGGCTGATCCGGGGCGGGGTGGGGGTGGGGTGGGGCGG